TCAAGCAGTTGAAAAACGTTAAATGTGCATAGAAAAAATGTTGATCATGTATTAGAAAAATGCAAAATGTGTATAGAAACAATTGTTGACCATGTGTTTAAAGAAAATGTAATCTTGCATTTGAAAAGGTTAATCAAGCATTGAAAAAATGTCAAACATGTATAGAAAAAATATTGACCTTGTATTTAAAAATGTTAGCCTTGTATTGAAAAATGCTAATGAAGCACTTGAAAATAATAAAAATGTCTACAAAAAAAGTGGCGACCATGTATTAAAAATGTTAATCTTGTATTTAAAAAATGTTAATCAAGCATTTGAAAAATATTAAATATGTGTACAGAATTGTTTTGACCGTTTAGTAAAAAACATCATACCTGTATTTGAAAGCTGTAAAATGTGTATTAAGACAATGTTCTTGACGTATATGGGAAATGTAGAATGAAACCAACAAAAACAAAGGAAACCATAAAAAGAAGGAAAACCTAAAAAGAAACAAAAGAAAAATGAAAACAAAAAAGAAAAGAAAATTAAACAAACAAGTACAAAAAAAAGAAACAGTCAAAACTGAGAAATAAACAAAGGAAAACAAAAAACTAATGAAATAGAAGAAAGAAAGAAACGTTACGGAAGAAAAATAAGGGAAAAAGAAACAAAAAAATAGTTGAAACCGAGAAAGTGGCTCAGAAAACCAAAAAAAGGAAGAAAAGAAAAAATGAGTGAGAAAGGAAAAATAAACTGAAACAAAACAAAGAAAAGAAAGAAAATATAAAGAAAAGAAAAGGCCCACGAAAATGGGGTAAAGAAACAAGGAAAACCAGTGAAAAAAAATAAAAAATGGAGAATATAGGCAAAGAAAAAGAAACAAAAAAAGCTACAAAAAATTGAAAATGAGCTGGCCAAGTTGATTCGCGGGGACTCGAGAGCAGGTTCCATCTCGCGTAAAGCAAGATATAGCCGTCGCGTGGCAACTATATCTCACATTAAGCGAGACAGAAGGATCCTTGGCGTCGAACACTGCAGTAATGGGCCACCCCAGTAGCCGGCACTTAAAAGGGATAGGTAGAGAAAAAGGCTAGAAACTCCTTTGTGACGAACTAGTTGTTCGGGCCTACTTATCTCGGCTACCCACTACGTTAGGTTTCCACTGTTTCTCTCCATTTTTTTCCAGAGTTTATTGGATTTGTTTTTCGCTGGGGTTTTCTTAATTTTCATTGTTTTTTTCTTTCTGTTTTGTTATTTTTCTTTGGTTTTATTTATTACTTTCTAGGTTTTCACTGGGTTTTTTCCTTTTTTTACTTTTATAATGGTTTTTGGATTTTTTTCTCTTTCTTTCTTGTTTTTTGTTTTCTTTTTTGTATTCTTTCTTTTTTGTTTCGTTTTCTTATCATCTCCTTTTTTCTTTTTGTTTTCATTTTTCTTTGTTTCTTTCAATTTCATTCTACATTTTTTGTATATGTCAAAAAATGTTTTCTAATATATGTCTAACGTTTCTCCAATACAAATTTAACATTTTTTGAACACATGGTCAACATTTTTTTAAACATAGTTAACATTTTTGAAATGCTTGATTAACATTTTTCAAATACTTGTTCAACATTTTTTTAAATGTGTGATTAAAAAATTTATATACATGCTGAAAATTTTCCATCACGTTTTTAACACATGGTCAATTTTTTTTCAAAGATACTTAACTTTTGAAAATGCCTTATTAACATTTTTCAAATACTTGTTCAATTTTTTTTTCAAATGCTCGATTAACATTTTTATATACATTATCAAAATTTTCCATCATTTTTTTATATAAGGTCAACATATTTCTATACAGATTTAGCTTTTTAAAATACTTGATTAAAAAATTTCAAATAATTGTTCAATATTTTTCCAAATGCCTGATTAACAGTTTTATATACATGATCAGATTGTGTCATCAATTTTTTAAATATGTTGCCAACAGTTCCTTTTCTTATACCCATTTAATCTTTTTCCAAATGCTTGATTAACATTCTTCAAACACTTGTTCAATATTTTTTTAAATGCTTGATTAACATTTTTGTCAATACTTGATCAAATTGTTTCATAGACATTTCTTTTGTATACATTTTTAGTGGATGTGATAAACATTTTCTCTATAAACATTTAACATTTTCAAATGTTTTATGTAGAGTGATTTGTGTAATATATATTTTTAGAATATTTGAAAGTATAAACAAAATTTAAAAACAGAACACAAAAAAGAAACAAAAAACGTGAAAAAATAACAAAACAGAAAACGAGGCCGCTGTTCCCGCGCGCCTGGGCCGGCCACCCTTCCCGACGTCACCCTTCCCGACGGGGCCACGGTCACCGCCGCACCACACTTCCCGACGGGGCCCTGGCGATCTAGACCGGCTCTCGGCCACCCTCCCTTGCCTGAGCATTTTCTTTTCCCGCAGCCGCCATCGCTGCCGCCTCCGGTAAAGTAAGGTGAACCAATGGATTACATATCCGGCAACGAGACGAGGAGTAATTCAGTGAGGCTGAATTCCGGCTAGTCGGATGCACTTTGTGCTCTTTCAGACTTGTGTAAATCGCATGTCATGCTCTCGCAATACACTAGCGACAATAGCAAATTAGCTAATTACTCCCTTCATTCGTAAATATAAGTCTTTTTAGAGATTTCAATATGGACTACAATACATACGGAGCAAAAATGAGTGAATCTAGACTTTAAAATATGCCTATATACATCTGTATGTAATCCATATTGAAATACCTAAAAGGGCTTATATTTAGAAACGGGGGATGTACATAGACGTATTTTAAAGTGTAGATTCACTCATTTTATTCCGTATGTAGTTTATACTGAAATCTTCAAAAAGACTTGTATTTAGGAATGGAGGGAGTATACTTGAGTGCGATGCTGTGATATTGTTTACTGAAGTTCCTTCTTTTATGGGTGCAAAGTTGCATGGGTTTGTTGTGTTCTTGGCAGGAAGATGGCAAGATGATCGTGCCGGGGTTTCGCGAACAGAGAGGGTAAAGTTTTGCAGAAGGAACAATCATCATTCCTGCAACACATGTAAGTGCAGAACTGTCATCAGTTTACAAGAAGAGTTACTAAAGATATGGCCATTCTTCTTGTACTCTGTATTACAAACGCAAATCTCTTTTCTTTGTTTGAGTTTAGTTACAGATCCACTACCTTTTAAGCTACACTCGCACAACCTGTAGCAATTAAGATATGACCTCCGCCGGTTGGACTAGCCCTTGTGAGGCCAAGTTGACTTCTCTTTTCTCCTGCAACGCAAGGTTGAATTCCTAACACCCACTCCTTGCATAGTCTCACGTGACATACAGACAAGAGTGCTGTGCTGCGTGTTGTTTTAGTTCAGAAAAGTTCAGGGAGGAAAAGGCAGATACTCGTCATGGGTTATGAGGTAGAGGGAAAGCGAAAACATATAATAGAATACCTGCACCCAGGCCCTTCCTATCTAGCCATACATTCTGAGCATCGCGATTCGTGCAAATACATTTTTCTTTTTTGTTTCTCTCGCATAAAACATGTTTTCAAGTTCAAACCTTTGCAGCGTGGCAAAGTTTTCTATCTAGAATCTAGGATAGACCTTTCAGATTTTTTGGTCAAATATAAATATACAAATTATGATTTTCTAGATTAAAAAAAATCATATTTTGTATATTTATGTTTGACAAAAAATTCTGAAAGATTTATACTAGATTCTAGATAGAAAGCTTTGCCAAGTTGCAAAGGTTTGAACTTCAAGACATGTTCTATGTGAGAGAAGTAAAAAAAAAGAAAATTTCATATAAAAAGTTAGTTGTATTGCACAGATTTTAAAGCAATATTGGACAGCCAGAATAGCAGGGTTCGGGTGCAGATGTTCTAAAAATCCACGTCTAGAGGGAAAGGGCGCTGTCGCTGTTGCTGTTGCCGCTCGCCGTCGTCGGCCCCTCGTGGTGGTTACCTTTCGGTGAGGAGTAAGCCGAGCAACGCGAGAAGGGTCAGCAGCAGTGGGAGCAGGGTGTGGATGAGGTAGGTTTCGCTTTGGTCCCTTTCGAGTGTGAAGGTGAGCTTCATAATAATGGTAGCTAGATCTATCTAACTTACGTTTTCTGAATTTTGCTGGCAGCTAGACAACTAGTCAACTGCCAAAACGTCTTATACTGTTTCTAGGAAGAGAGGGTGTAGTTAACAGGAGGAAGTTGGCATCTCCGTTTACCAAAACATGTATAGAACGTGTGATGCCAGACACCGGTGGGAGTAGCCTTTGCCGGTGATGACACGGTGGTCCGGTGAAGTGCGGGCCTTGCGAGGGTCTCCGCCCGGTAGTCCGGTGGGAGCCTATTTCTGTTGTGTATGTGGGGTGATAGGTAATGGTGCTCGTGATTGTAAAATTAAATTGAAAAGGGGTGAAAATCCACAATTCGGCAAGGGTCTAAAAGCATTGATGGATAGTAGGAAGGAAGGAGGCGAGGAGTGAAATACATGGAGTAGTCGAGGTGGCTTTGGTAGCTCGAGCAGGGGGAACACCTTTGGGCATTGGAGTGGTAAGTCCAGAAGTGATGATGGGTTCTGGAAAAAAGATTGCAGCATATACATTTTACTAACCAGGATAATAACGGTTCCAACCAGGATAATATCGGTTCTGATTATTCATGTGATATCCTCTGTGTTGCCTACTAAATCACACAACAATAAGGTATTATAAGCCTCCTAATGCACACAAGGGGATATCTTTATTAACCAAATCAAGTACTGTTGCAATCTAAAGCATAAACTCCAGAACATGCTCTGAGAGCTGCCCATACTACGCTCTTTCCTGGCATCAGGCAAACACTGCCACCATTTCCGTACAGTAGATTTGCAAACATACTCAGAAGAGTTGCGTAACAAATGGAGTACAATACAAATACATATGTGTTTGATAACAAGAATAGACGAATATTAATTGTATTTCCATGGCTAGTTACTGCACTGGAAATTTGGCTGGTTAAATCATAACTCAATCACGCGTATATTTGAGCACACCAGGGATGTGAACACTGTAGAAATAATCTTCCCAGTCAATGTACTTGGGATCAAAATCAAAGTAATAGGCCCCATTGTTATTTTGATTGTCCTTTTTCATCGCCATCCTTAGTTTATCCAAGTTCATGTCATCAAAGCTTCACAAGATTGAAAAAATCAAGTCAAAGAACAATATTTTTAAGGGTAAAATGATATATTTTGATATGCTATGAGGATGCACTGGTATACCATCATACCATGTAATCACAAAAGCGGAAGGACACATTGCAAAAAAGCACATATTGATAAGCTTTTTAAGAATTTCTTACCACCCTTTGAACAAAGTGTATGGTGCATATAATTCGCTCAACTGCATCATGAATCTGAATTTTCTGCTGAGTTCGTTGTATACCCGTGAGAAAACACCACAAAGTGCAATGTTCACTAGGCGAAGCATCTGCCCAATTGATTGTAGGAGAAGAAAGCCACATAATATTAGTCTCATTTGCATCTCATATATCCTTAAACAACGTGCTTTAATCTCAGGTTGAAATAGTAATTAAGCTAACCTCGAGGGGAAGCATGTACTTGAAGGCCATGTACAGCCTGAACCACATGATAGAGCTGAAGAACCGCATCTTCTTCAGCCGAACACGCTCACCATTCCTTCCCGTGCATGGGGGATTGTCATTGAAGTACCGAAAGAGAGACTTCCAAAGGATGGCGTAAGGTGCTGGGTTCCGCAGCGACGATGTTACATGGTAGATGATTTGCACCCGCTGATCCTCTGAGTGTGCTACCATGGCAACCATCATAGCGTTCACCACCATGTCCCCTGGAATCTATATAAACCATGCACTGTAGTTGGTTACTTACTTGGTACCTTCACCAGCTTTCGTTCCAAATTTTGGTTGCCAATTCGTGAACTAGCTCACCACATCCATTATTAAATCTAGGTCGACTAGGAAGAAGGGCAAGGTCTGCTTGGCGTATCCGATGACCACCGAGTCGATTGTCCTACGGAAGATGAAAATTTCAATAATCATACACCAGTGTGGTACATTGTTGTTAAGGATCAAAATATATTGTTCTTTCAGTCACTTGATTCCTTCCATCCATCCATGCAATGGCTCCTTGAAGGTACTGGTTATAATGCTCGGGCGGATGATGACAACCGGAAAGTCCATTGGTAGGAGCTCCATCATCATCTCCCCCATTGCCTTAGTGAATACATAGGTGTTTGGCCACCCGAAGTTTCGAGCCCTACGCTCAGTTGTCCATAAGATCAAACATGTTAAAAGAGTATCAAGTTTGCAGTGCTACCAAGTGAATGATAGGAGTACACATAATGTATGTTGAGGTTTGTGTCTAACCTCTTGAGGCCAAGCTCCTTCATGGTTTTCCTCCCAGCCTTCTCCATGGAACAACTAGCTTTTAGTTCTTGCATGGTCTCTTTGATTAAATTTAACTCCGATTCGATGTCTAGGTGTGTGCCCACCTTTATGGTCTCACCCATCAAGATTGGCTTCTCTGGTATTATCCCCTCTTGTTCACCAGCTACATAGGCTGTCCAAGTCATACAATGATAGCTTAACAAGTTAAAATTCAGAATGTCATGATATAATACCAAACCCAAATTCATAGATCAAATATTCTTATGGCTTCACACCTGTTGAAACATGAAGCAACATCCTGAGCTTAGGACATTTTGTTGCAAATGCGCAGATGTGCTTCACACCCAAGACATTCACATCGAAAGCCACATCATATCTGGAAAGGTAGCATCACATTTTGAACATTTCAATGCCGTGCATGTTTATGTTTGTTACAATATTACTCCTTCCAGTTCACAAATAAGTACTGTTATGGACACTGACATAGTCATCAAGCTGTAACTTTGACCACTCATTTCTGTCTGTGAGTATATGTATAGTAACCAACAAAATTATGATATTTGAAAATATTTTTCAAATCAATAAAATTATTTTAAGTTTTCAAACTAAATATTTAAGATGATGTCCATAGTCAAAACTTTGAAATTTGGGCTCGAGGTATGTATGAAATGTCACTTATTTGTGAACTGGAGGGAGTAGCAATCTGCAACCAGAAAGCACCTCAAACCTTTCGAAGAAATTTGTAGTCGCAGCTCCGTTGACGATGACATCTATATCCTTGGACAATTCCCCTAGCTGGGCATTGTCTAGTCCAAAGTTTTCATAAATGATATCTCCCACCAAAGGACATATCTTTTCTTCAATGAAATTATTGAACCGCACACCATGTTTTTCTTTTAGCACATGAAAGATCTCCCGATCTATGATCTAAAAAATAGCAAAGAATATTAGTAGTAAATTACTATTTATTACTGTGCCAACGCTCTTGGTCGGGTTCGAATAAAAACGCTTAACATTCATCCCCTCACATTGTGCAACAAGTGAAACTATGCACTAGTATAGAAAGATGTATACCACACAGTTGAACATAAGGATCGCGTAACGTCCTTGTGGCCGATGTGGGGGATGTATCATATGTGTGCGCATGTTGCCCCCAATTCAAATGATTGGAACAGAGAAACTGTGCGTGATTTCGAGGCAGAAAAATAGTCAAGCCCAGTAGTGAGTCCAAGGGTGGACTTGCACACTAGAGCAAAAAAAGGGTCAACCCAGCTATGAGCCGATGGTGGATTTACAACTCGGATAAAAAAAGGCCGAGTCCAGTTACTAGTCGATGGCATACGTGCTTAATGTGAATTTAGCATTAGACTAAAACCAGGAGAAAAATAAAAACGATTTTTTCACCTCAGTCTGAATCCGAAGCTTCGCGGATTCAGCATCAGGGGCCCGAATCAAGAGGAAGAGCTTCTTCACATCAGGTTGAACCCTCAGTATCTTCTCTACGAGCACTACCCACAGATCATGCAAGAGAAACACCAACATATAAGCCTCTCAGATGATCAGCACACATGTATGGCACATCCTGGCCCGAAATGTACCGATCATGTATGAATGCATACCTTTGCCTAGGAAGCCAGTTGAACCAGTGATGAGGATACTCTTGCCCCTGAAATATCCTACAACACTGTCCGCATCCATTTCACCGATCATCCTCGGCTACTTTTGCCTGCCTCGATAGGAGGTGAGATTGATGTCACTTGGTGAGAGATAACTTTCTTTGCTAGAAAATGGTACTATCTTGTCTGGCCATGCATGTTCTTATAGGGCAGGAAGGAAGACGTGTTTTCAGTGGTCAAGTGGAACAAGGCAGCACAGGTTACGTGATTTCACTGTCGATCACCTAGCACAGATATTTTAAGAATGAGACATCCATGGAATGGCTGGTTGGTGGAAGTGGGAGAGAAAATAGAAAATTGATACAGCCACGTCTGGGCAGATTGCTTCTCCCGCTACTCAGCAGTGTCGGCACACGACAAAAACAACACACTGGACCTATGACTCAAAAATTATACTACCTCCGTCTCGGTGAATAAGTCATTCGCGTAGTTTTAGGTCAACGATTTAACTATCTAAATATGTATTATACGTGACAAAAAATATATATTTAAAAACTACATTCGTGTAGAAATCTAGTGATATACTTTTTATGATATATAACACATATTTAATTGCTCAAATCGATGACCTAGAACTACGCAAATGACTTATTCACCTAGACGGAGGTAGTACCATTTGATTCGAATTGGAACAAAATTCGAACGATACAAGTTTTGTACATACAACTCATATTTTATTAGACGATTTATCAGGGTTTCCGATGGAGACACCGGTGTCATTATGCTCAGCATCACCATCAAATTGCTGAGCATCATAGGTGATGAGGACGAGCCGGAGGAGTACGACAATGTCAACTCGGGCCTGAAGTGTGCACACGGCAAAGAGAACTTCAGGCCCGAGTCACCATCATTGTCGTCCTTTGGCTCGTCCTCTACCGGGTGGCGCGACTTCTCAGTGAATCGGGTACAAGTGACCGTCTGATCAATTAAGACTGTCACAGTTACATGATTGCATCGTCGATCACCTAGCGCACATATTTTAAGATCGATAAACCCATGAAATGACTGGTTGGTGAAAAGGGGAGCTGAAATAGAAAATTGATAGTCAACCAATTGAATTATTCAATTCCACATAGAACCACAATTCGGGTAATTGCTTCTTCTCCTGCTCAGCAACATCGACACACGACGAAACAACGCACTAGACCTGTGACTAAAAAATTATACCATTTGATTCGAATTGGAACAAAATTCGAATGGTACAATTTTTGTACATACAACTCATATTTTATTAGATGGTTTATTGGGGTTTCCGATGGAGATACCAGTGTCATTATCCTCACCATCACCGTCAAATTGGTGAGCATCATAGGCGATGAGGACTAGCCGGAGGAGAACGCTTCAGGCCCGAGTCACCATCATCGTCGTCCTTTGGCTCGACCTCTACCGGCTGGCGCGACTTCTCAGCGAATCGGGTACAAGTGACCCTTCGAGCAATTAAGGCTGTCACTGTTACATGATTGCACCGTCGATCACCTAGCACACATCTTTTGATCAATAAATCCATGAAACGACTGGTTGGTGAAAAGCGAGACGAAATAGAAAATTGATAGTCAACCAATTGAATTATTCAATTCCACAAAACAACCACAATTGGGGCAATTGCTTCTTCTCCTGCTCAGCAGCGTCGACACACACGATGAAACAACGCACTGGACCTATGACTCAAAAATTATACCGTTTGATTTGAATTGATTTTTTTGAATGATACGATATTCCGGAGGAGTACGACAATGACAACTCGGGCATGAGGCCCGAGTCACCATTATCGTCGTCCTTTGGCTCGTCCTCTACCGGGTGGCGCGACTTCTCAGCGAATCGGGTACAAGTGACCGTCCGATCAATTAAGACTGTCACAGTTACATGATTGCATCGTCGATCACCTAGCGCACATATTTTAAGATCGATAAACCCATGAAATGACTGGTTGGTGAAAAGGGGAGCCGAAATAGAAAATTGATAGTCAACCAATTGAATTATTTTTCCACATACAACCACAATTGGGGTAATTGCTTCTTCTCCTGCTCAGCAACATCGACACACGACGAAACAACGCACTGGACCTGTGACTCAAAAATTATACCGTTTGATTTGAATTGATTTTTTAATGATACGATTTGCTACATGCAACACGTATTTTATTAGACGATTTATTAGGGTTTCCGATGGAGAAACATATATCATCATGATCAACATCATCATCGATTTGGTGTGATAGAGGCAACGGAGACGAGCCGAAGGAGGACGACGATGGCGACAACACCTGCGATGAGGAAGATTGATCCATGCGCTTACTATCTGCACTCCCAAGTCCCAATCATCCCGCACTTCGTCAATCCAATGGAGAAAGTCATGTCCCGCGTGGTCCCCCAGCAGGGCGACTCGGGCGGCCACCATCTCCTTCCGGCCAGTGGCACTCCCAGCTCCACTCCTCCTCCTTGCCACC